ATCTATCTATCTATCTATCTATCTATCTATCTATCTATCTATCTATCTATCTATCTCTCAGAATAGAATAGTTGGAAGGGACCTTAGAGGTCTCCTACTCCAGCCCTCTGCTCAAACAGGAGAACGTATATCATTCCAGACAAATGGCTGTCCAGTCTCTTCTCAAAAGCCTCCAGTGACGGATCACCCACAACTTCCGGTGGGGTAAGCAGTTCCACTGGCTAACTGTTCTCGCTGTCAGAAAATCTCTCCTTCGTTCCAGGCTGATTCTCTCCAGGATTAGTTTCTATCCGCGGCTTCTTTTTCCCCTGCCTTCAGGGGCTTTGGGCAATTAGGCGGACCCCATCTTCTTTAGGGAAGCCCTTCGAATACTGGGAGGTATATCCCCCCCCTCCCCAGTGCTTCTTTTCACTCGACATCTCCAATTCCTGCAAACCCCGTCCTTCGTATGTTGGAGCCTCCAGTCCCCTGGATCGCCTTTGTGTCTCGTCTCCGCGCTCTTTCTAGAGTCTCAACATCTTTGTTATATCGTGAATGACGGGTCGTGAAGTAAGAAAACCGGTCCCAGGTGCCTTTTTTCAGTGCCTCGTAAGTCAAGGACTATCTGTGCTTTACAAAGGCGTCACTTTGCCAGGTCATTCAATAAAGGCCAATCCATCAAAAACATCCATCCATCCAAAAGTACAGAGAAGAGCAACCAGGATGATTAGGGGACTGGAGGCTAAAACATATGAAGAACGGTTACAGGAACTGGGCCTGGCTGGTCCAGGGAAGAAAAGAAGGACCAGGGGAGACAGGAGAGCAGACTTCCCATATTTGAGGAGCTGCCCCAGAGAGGAGGAAGGGGTCAAGCTATTCTCCAAGGCACCCGAAGGCCAGACAAGGAAGAATGGATGGAAACTGAACAAGGAGAAGAGATTCAACCTGGAAATAAGGAGAAACTTTCTGACAGTGAGAACAATCAACCCATGGAACAGAATTTGCCTTTGGAAGTTGTGGGAGCGCCATCCTTGGAGGCTTTCAAGGACTCCCATCTGTCAGAAATGGTGTAGGGTCTCCTGCTTGGGCAGGGGGTTGGACTAGACGACCTACAAGGCCCCTTCCAACTCTGATGATCTGTAATCTGTAATCATTCAAGGCAGCTGCTTTTCATTACGCCCTCCTCCTTAATTATGATATAGTGATGGTTCTTTCAATCAGCGCTCCTTTGTGAATATGGGGGATATGGGGAATGGCCCCTCCCATGTCAATTCTGTCAGTCTTTTTAAAATAAATTATACGAACCTACAATCAAACGAGGAAACTGACATTTGAAATTAACACAAGACGTCTTGCCGGGCTTAAAACGATAACGCTGGATGATAACCCAGGGAAAGACTGTCTTCACTCAACGTCGTCAAAACTCAAACCAACGACAGGATCCCGCCCTAACTTGCAGTGTTTCCCAACAAACACAAGGTTTAAAAAAAAAAAGAGGTGTGGGGGAGAAATGGAGTTACTGTGCCACACATGTTTTCAAAGAAAAGTTATGCTAAGCTGGCATCACTCCTGTTTCTGCCCCTGCTATCCAGAGTTGACTGGAAAGGTAATTAAATCATAAAGACATTATATATATTATAACTCACTATTCGTGTTATTCGTAGGGTGTTTTTTGCCCCAGCCATTGTGTTCTGAATGAACACCTGACACAATTTCTTTTTGAAAATGCCATATGAGCATTTTCGGTTGCCGTTTGTTCTCCCCAAATGAAATTTCTCTGGTGCAGCATTGAGGGCAAAGAACAGCTGCGAAGAGGGAAGAGACTGCGGGCAGGAAATATTATAATACTTGCATTGCACTGGAACCCACACCTGGATCAAAATTGGTCTATAATACTATAATATTAGGCATAACAGCTGAATTACCGGCTGATTCTTAACTTTACTGCTTTGCTTAGCCGTGCAAGCATTTCTTCTGATTGCTTGGTGGTTGTTGTTTTTTTTGGCCAGCCAGCAAAATATCTTTATTCCTTCCTGCATTTCGCAATACAGCCCCATTACATATTTTATAAAGCCACAGTTACAGGAAAGTCGCCGTGATATTTATCTGTCCGTATAATTTTAGTTATCCATCAGGGGAACAGGGAGAAATGATAGTGGCTGGCAAAAACAGGAGTTGAAGGTAAGTGTACGAAGCAAAGCAAGGTTTTAAAGTGCACATTTAAATAATGTTCGGTTTATTTCCCTGCTTAGATTACTAGCCTCCTGGCCATGGCAAAGGCCATGTTAAATATCTGTTGGTCTGATCCCCCCAAATATGGGTCAGACAACACAATAAACAGACAGGGAAATACATATTTTCTTCCTAATGTTTTTCCCCACAAATGTAGGATCTAATTTTTTTTTTTTTTCTCAGATCAAGTGTTGTTCCATTGGTTGCGTCAGGAACTGACCGAAAAGCTTGTTGTTCAAGAGAGAGTCACTGACCCAAAGTCACCCAGCAGGCTTTCATGCTTAAGGCAAGCAAAACATTACTTTTCTCCTGTTTCTCTTCTCTGACTCCCAATTCGGACAATTCCCAGACAGCCAGGTTGAAAAAAACAAGGGAGTTGCCCCGTGATGCATGGTAGCTCCGTCTTCTTTTTTTTCCTGTTCATTTTTCCACTTTTAATTCAACATCTTCGGAGAACGAACCTGTTGAACTCAACGCGTGGTGCTTTAACAAAAGGGAACTGGATTTTCTTATGGTTCCACCCCGCCCCCCCCTTAAAGACGTTTCGCTTCTCATCCAAAGAAGCTTCTTCGGTTCCGACTGAATGATGAGGGAACACGAGGGTTTAAATTATGTTTAATGAAACTGATTACAATGGATGAAATTGAATTTAAATTTAAGGATCCACCCTGCGGTCAGAAGTGAGGAAACTTCCTGGATGAGAAGGAAAACGTCTTCAAGGAAGAAGAAGGAAAAAAAAAAAACCCCAAGAAAGTCCAGCTGCCTTTTAGGACAACTATGAATGACGGAGAATCTCCATCAGAGAGAACAACTCAAGAGTTGACATAGCGCAATATCAGTTCCATATTATTATCTTTTGAAACTCACTGTAAGAGCTTAGAGCCAAGGCTCTTTCAACTTTTGCCAAACTTTTTGAAACTTTCCGGGTAAAATTTGTGGACGTGGAAGATTGATTGCTTTCTAGTTTATTCGCAAGCCGTGAGCGCACAATCTTGGTCACCGTGTCACCAACACGGTACTTTGCTCCCTTGTGTTGTTTTCCTTCACACTCGCCATCCTTGCAGCGCCCAGAACTCTTGTTATGAAAAAGGGGGGGGGGGGGGAATAAATTCCTCTGGTAAATTCCTCATCCAATTCGGTTCCAAGCTTCCAGCATTATCTTATCGTGGCCTTTCCCAGCTGTGAGGGCACCGGGCGCTGTGGCAATTTGGCCTGAAGGCCACCAAAATTCGTTTTCCAGTTTGCAGGGCCAACGGTGCGACCAAGAGCCACGTCCCTGGATGGACACGGCGTCTTTCAACATCACCTGCCCCTCACTGATTTGACAAGAAGCTGCTCCTGTGTTCCTCCGAGATCGATGCTCAGATGAGATGCCCAGAGGTTGTAAGGAGGGGGGTGAAGGAGGGGAGGGGACACTTTGTAGAGTCCTGGATTCTGCTCCATGGAAGAGGGAATCCTGGGGTTTGAAGTTTGCACGGGTTGATGTTTCCGAGGTTGAGAGGGGTAAAAAAAAAACAGAGTATTTTCCTCAAGACCTACTTACACCCCTTCAGAAGTTGTGGGAGCTTCATCCCTGGGGGCTTTCAAGAAGAGAATGGACTGCAATCTGTCAGAAACGGTGTAGGGTCTCCCGCTTGGGCAGAGGGGTGGGTTGGACTAGATGACCTACAAGGTCCCTTCCAAGTCGGTTAATCTAATCTAAAATGGCTAGATACTTAAGAGGAATTCCCTTTCCCCTTTGGAAGCTTTTCCGGTAGCCGAATTCCCAGATTTTGAACCGTAAGCCTTTTGCATTCTGTCTCTTACCTTTCGATTTTGCGCTGCCGCCCGAGAAAGAAATTTTGGGGTGCGGAAGGCTCATAATCACTAACTGCCTCTTAGGATCTATGAGAAAGTTCATTAGGTTGCCTTCAGAAGTTGTGGGAGCTTCATCCCTGGAGGCTTTCAAGAAGAGACTAGACTGCCACCTGTCAGAAATGGCGTAGGGTCTCCTACTAGGGCGGAGGGGGGGGTTGGACTAGATGACCTAGATGACTAGATATAATAATAATAGTAGCGCAGACTTAGTAAATAGTTGGACAGTGTTGAGGGAATTATTTGTTTAGCAGAGCGATGGCCTTTGGGGAAAAAAACTCTCCTTGTGTCTAGTTGTTCTGGTGTGCAGGGCTCTAAATCATCCACCAAGTCCAAAACCCAAATCCCGCAGGGGTCAAAGGGTGGACGAGGAAATGTCAAATGTTCCTCAAGAGACGTGGAGTGAGTCAGAGGGTCTCCTCCCGCACTTTTCGCCTTTGGGTCTTCACAAAGGTCGTGCGAGGTAGGTCACCGAAGGAGAGGAACTGGGCAAGCCCAGCCAGGGTGGTTTGCGAGCTTAAAGGGCTCCCCAGATTGGATGTTCCCTGAATGGATCCTTTCTGGAGCTTCCCTGGGTCAATTGCTGTGACTGAAGTCCCAACCTGCAGGCCCGGGGTACACCCAGTACCCCAACTGAGCCCCATATTTTCTAGGGAGCGAGTTCTGCCCCCATTTTACGACCTGTCTGGCCTCAGTTTTTAAGTCGATAGGGTGGAACGCTCAAATTAGTAATTATAGGGGTAATTTTTTGAATTATTTGAATTAAGACGAAACTTTTGGAATAAGGAAATTAGAATATGCGATGAAATTGCAAATGCGACAGATAAAAGTATAAAGTATAATGAACAGGAAGATACGAGAATGATTTAAAGTAAAAAAGAAATAAGAAATGAATAGAAAGTATATAAGAGAAGTTTGAAGAATATAAGAATATCTGAGAAAGTTTATAGAAAATGTGTGATGTAATGATAGGATATGAAATCAAATGTGAAAGATGGATAGGTAACCAAGGTCAGGTTTGTATGGGAATGTGAAAACCTGGAACCAGGCTGTTCACTAAAAGAGATGTCTTTGAAATATAAAAAAAACTTTTAAAAAAAGCGTTTTTAAGTCAATTGGCGCAGTTGATCAAGTTACTAACCCGGTCGTTAAGCGAATATGCCCAGGACACCGCGACCATCGTAAGTATGAACCAGTTGCCAAACGGCCCAATTCTGATCACGGGATGCTGCAAAGGTTGTAAGCGTGAAAACGGTCATAAGTCCCTTTTTACAATGCCGTTGCAACACTGAGCGGCCACTAAGTGAACCTTTGTCGATCGAGGAATGCCTGTAATTTCCCCGTTATTGTGAACCTCATGCGAGAGAGTTTCCTTTTCCCCCCCTAGGAGTCTGCAGTCCTTTCCTAATTCTCCTCCTTCTTTGGATCCCTGAAGACAAGATCCTTAAAACTTTTTAAAAAATGAAAAGTTTATCGGAAGCCAGGCCAAGAAGAAGAAAAAAAAAACACGTTATCGCCTTACCTCATCTCAAAACCTTGCTCTCTCTCTCTCTCTCCTTCTTGGGTTTCAAGGCTCTCCCAAGGAAGACAAGACTTCAAAAGGGCTGGCTTCGGAGAAGGAAAAAGAGGAGGAGAAGGAGAAGGAGGAGGTGGTGGTGGTAAGCCTGCCCTCTTCCCTGCAGAGAGAAAGAAGATAATACAGGGTTTTAAAAACAAAAGATTCTCAAACTTCCTCGTGTTCCCAGCTAAAGTGAACGGGTTAGCCACGCAGGAAACGGCACGCGAGAAACACCGAATGGACAAGGCATCTCAGCGGGGATGCTGTCTTCACAGTCTAATTTGCTATCAGATCTGGAGCAGAGGAAGAGAGAGAGAGAAGGAGACAGAGAGAGAGAGAGACAGAGACACACACAGACAGACAGACACAGAGAGAGAGACAGAGAGGCACAAGGTAAATGCTGTTGCAACCTTCAAAGCTGCAGAACTGTTCCTGTAGGAGCTTGTTGGAAGTTGCCCAACTCGCTTTGGCTTCAAAGCCAGGAAGGAGCCCTACAAGACTGAAGGGGCTGAGGAAGAGGAGTGGGAAAAGGAAGGAAGGGAGCGTACCTCAACTCTCTTCGCTCTTCCCTTTGGACAGCTGCAACGTCTCGCGTTCCCCCCCGCACCCTTCTCGTCGGTCGGCGTGCCCAGTGTCTCCCGTGCAGAACTCTCCAAAAGGCACGGGGCCCCTCCCACGTACACGCTTTACATAATGACGGGGCCCGGAGATTACAGAGCGGTGAAGGGAGGCGGGGTGGGTGGGGGGAGAGGCTGTTTCAGCCTCCTTGTCCCAGCTCCAAGGTAACAAGTTCAAAGGGAGGAGGCCCCAAAGTGTGTGCTGGGAAGCCCGCTGGCCCAAGACGGAGGACTTTCCTGCTGCTGCTGGTGGTGGTGGTGGTTGTTGTTGTTCAAACCACAGACACACGCACACACGCCAAAGAAACGGAAGGGAACTTGTTCTTCAGGTTGGAAACGGAAAGAAATCGGTTTACGGCTGTGTTTGTACACTCCCTGTTTCTCTTGAAGGGACCGCTGATAGGGGAAGGTAGGCTGGACGAAACGTACCTGCGGAACGTAGGTGAGTCTGGTTAATGATTAGCAAGCGAGCCGGGTGGATCTCTTCTGGCTTCCGGGACGCCTCATCCTGAAACCTGTCTGGGGCAGGTAGTGACAAAGGTCTCCAAATCTGTCAGAGGGAGAAGAGGGTGCAGTAAGAGAAGCAGGGTTGGTCTAGAAGACCTCCCAGTTCCCTCCCAGCCCTAGGAGTCTAGGATTCCACGCCAAGGTTTAGTCCGCGATGCCTGCAAAGGGCATCTTGGGTGGGTCTGAGCACAGAGGCGGTGGGGACCTCAACTTTTGATAACCTCTGGCCAGCACCCAGCCTACGTCCTCCACAGTGATGGGAATTATAACACTCCAAGGTCAAATTTCTCAACCGTAATGGGTGCAAGACTCGGTGTATATACTTATACCCGTTTGCACTTATATGTTTATACGACTTACACTTGTTTTCTCATACGTGCTTGACAAACTAAATAAAATAAATAAATAAAATAAATAAATAACAATTTAAAGAAAAAGGACCACCTGGATAAAAGAAAATTACACGAAGCGCGCCCAAGTTTAGGTCTTTCCTCCCGAGTTCCCTGTGCAACACGTATTCAAGATACAAAGAGGGGCAGAATGGTGAGTGGAGCGTGTGCGTTTTCCTCCCTAGATTTCCTCAGGAAAAACCAACAACAATGCTCTTTTATCCCTAAAAGGTTTCCCCCGCACGCTTTCTTCGGCAGGCAGCGTCTTGTCTACCTCACGCCGGCTGCGAATTCTTAGAATTTCATTCCAAATTCCAACGTAAAACCCCGGAGCAGTTGAGCGGGAATACCGTGTGGAAGAAGGCACCGTATGTATGCTTTCTCAGAACCGAATACAAAATACAGCGATACCTCGGTACTCCTCGTTAATTGGTTGCGGGATCTGCGATGAGGAGCAAAAATGGCGAGTTACAAAAGCGAATTTTTCCCACGAGGAATAATGAGAGTGAATTGCGAGGCAGGCAACAGAGACAAGTTCTGGCTTGCGCGTCGACTACTAAACAAACGAGTAGAAGATAGGGGTAGATAGATAGAGATAGAGAGTTATAGATAGAGAGATAGAGAGATATAGATATAGGTAGATATAAAGATATAGAGATATAGATAGATAGAAATAGAAATAGATATAGATAGAGAGTTATAGAGATATATAGAGAGAGATATAGATAGATATAGATATAAAGATATAGAGATGGAGATAGATAAATATAAATAGATAGAGATATAGATATATATAGAGAGAGGTGCAGATGGATATATATATATATATACATATACATACATATATACACATATGTACATATACATATACACATACACACACACACACACACACATATATATATATATATATGCAGATGGAGAGAGAGAAAGAGAGAGAAAATAATAATAACACTCCTTGGAGGTGATAAAATTAAAAGAGGAGGAGACGTTTACGCAGAGTGTCCTCTGTGACAAGAGCACATCCCTAAACTGGTTAAAAAGATATTATTTTCTCAGGAAATAACTCATGCTAGTGGAATGGATCATGTCAAAAGTCTTCCTCCTGGGCTAATTTCACTATTTGGAAATAGGAAATCGAGTTCCAGACACAATGATGGATCCAGCCAATTTTTCTTTTTTTTTTTAATCTTAATCAACTCCAAGCTCAACAAAGCTTAACAGCTCATAAGAATTTGGCAAGGCTAATCCTAATAAATTGGTTCTTACGCTGTGCTTCTGTCACTTGTGGGAGAGAGAGAGAGAGAGAGAGAGAGAAAGAAAAAAAAAGTAAAAAACCCTATCAGCTTCAGTTTCTTTCTAATTTTTTCAGTCTGGAATCGCATTCCCTTTCACCCACTTTTCACATCTGGTTGCACATTTTTAAGGCCGCACAAAAATGAGTCTGTCTTCGGAGCATGTTTTTTTTTTATGCGCTGGGGTGTTTTTTTTTTGTTTTTGCGAGCAACTTTCTCTAATGTTACACCTCCTGGGTTTTGATGTGCTATTAATATGTTACGGTGGTGTTACATTTTCCTCTAACTGAAACTCTTTTCTACACATCCTTTTCATCTGGAATGCGGAGCCTCCAAAGCCCACTTGTCAAAGGCCCCGTTCTTCTTCGCTTCTTGGTTCAAGGAGAAGGAAGAAAATCAGCGGGAAGGTTCAAACAATGTACCCCAAAACCTCCCTCCGTCCAACCTGGCATCCCCCACCCTGTCTTCGACCCTACTGCCATCACAAAGATACCATCTGTGGGTTGTTAAGACACAACAGCTGATTCACACACAGGGGAAAAAAAAAAAACCTGAGTCAAATCAACAACAAAGCACCCTTAAGGCTTGCTCCCGTGTTATGAAGCCAGATGCAGCCACAATTGCAGGCTGCAACTGACCATGATTAGACGGGTGGACAAAACATTTAAACTTGTCTGCCGTTTAGAAATGACCTGGAAATTGGCAGCCCGGGCCAAGCAACGTTAGTTATCGTTGTCGATATTTTTTTTTCCCCCTCACTTCTTTTATGAAATCCAGCTTGGAGGAATTGGGACTCATCTACGACAGGAAGTCTCTTCCTGCTCCTGGCTAACTCTGAAGCTCTGAAACAGCCACGCGGTTGGCCCCTCTGGCTCCGTTTCAAACTCTGCCAAATGGGGCCAGTGAGAAATTACTCACTTGCTTTTGTAGGCAACGTGGAGCCTGCGGTTAAGGAACCCGCTCGCGCCCTAAACCTGTTCTCTTGGAAGCAGGTCCTTAAAAAGGTGACTTTTAATCACGCGCACTTTGCTGGAAACCGTGCAGGGATCAACATCTGCAGAGCCCAAATAGGCTTCCTGTTCCAATCCCTGGGCCTAATCTGGATTTACCAGTGATGGAGCAAGCCACAACTTCTGCAGGTGAGTCATTCCACTGATGGAATCGTTCTCACCCTCGAGAAGTTTCTCCTTAGTTCCAGGATGGAGCCCTCTCTGACTTAACTCCTAGAATTCCCCAGCCAGCGGGCTTTAAGGTTGCTGAACAGACAATCCTAGGGCTAGAAGGGATCCCCAATTCCAGCCACCATTCTTTATAATACTGTATTTTAGCCTCCAGTCTCCTAATAATATTTGCTGTTCTTCTCTGCACTCCTTTTTAAAATGCTGGATTAAGAGACTTACATTCTAGTTTGCCCCTCAGCCATGGAAGCTCCCCAGGTGACTTTGGGACTGCCATTCGCTCCTTCTCGGTCCAACCTGCTAATAAAAATAGAAGGAAGCTATGTTGTGCGCTTCACCTGGACCTCAGGTACAAAAGGCAGAATACACATCCAACAAACAACACCTCTTATTTTAATGCTGCTGCCTCAAGGATGGCTGTGTGCTGTGGAGCACAAATTTTAGACTAAGCCAGCAATTAACAGCAACGATTCTCGCAGTGGGCCTTGAAAAACGTGTGTGTTGTGTGTGTGTGTATGCGCCACAGATAATTAAAGTGAGAGCACTGTTAAAACATGCTACAGGCTACACAGGCTCCTGTTTTTTGGCTGCACAAGCCCTGGGGTCAGGGTTTGAGAACTGCATCGATATCTTGTCTTGGTGATTAAAAAAATCTGTGCTGTTTTTCTCTCTTGTCCAGCCCCAAAGCCATCCAGATTGGCAGTGAAATACTCCACGCCTGGTTCTCAGGAAACGAAGCGGTTCAGAAGTTGGGATTTGAGGCAGGCCTGCCACCTAGTGAAATATTTTTTATTTTATTTTATTTTTGGGGGGGAAGGAAGGAAGCAAATGGTCTGCGGAGATTCTCAATCCTCCAAATCATGGTGGTCTCAAAGGTGCTTTCCCCCCCCCCCAAGCTTTCGATATATTGGTGGGTTTGGGGGTGGTGGTTTCAATTGAAAAGAAAATGCTGCTAGCCGTAGCAGACTTATATACCGCTTCACAGTTACAGTTCTCTCTTAAACGGTTTATAGAGTCAGCCTATTGTTCCTCCCCAACAACCAGGGTCCTCATTTTACAGACTTTGGAAAAGATGGAAAGGGCTGAGTCCACCTTGAGCCGATCAAGATCGAATTCCAGGCTGTGGGCAGAGTCAACCTGCAAGACTGGATTCTAACCACCGAGCCACCACTGATTGTATGAAACTCAGTTCAAATTAAATTAAATTAAATTGTTTACCTGGCTTCACCCTTTTTTTTCCCCCTTATAATACACCCAACTACTTGGCTTCCAAGTTCCAGGATGTTCACTGGGACAAAATAAGTGGAACTTGCCTCCTGTTTCTTGTTGTTATGGTAGTCCTTCAGAGAGCGTTTCTTAACTTGATAACTTTAAGATGCCTCCAGAAATTGCAGGCACTCCAACACTGGAGGTTTTTAAGAAGAGACTAGACAGTCACTTCTCTGAAATAGCAACAGCACTTAGACTTATACCAACCACTTCACGGTGCTTTTACAGCCCTCTCTAAGTGGTTTACAGAGTCAGCCTCTTTCCCCCAACAATTTTGGTTCCTCATTTGATGCACCTCGGAAGGACGGAAGGCGGAGTCAAGCGAGAGCTGGCGAGATTCGAACTGCCAAATTGCAGGCAGCCGGCAGTCAGCAGAAGGAGTCCGCAGTACTGCACTCTAACCACTGCGCCATTGTGGCTCATAGATGGTATAGTTCTCCTGCTTGAGCAGGGGCCTCAAGACCCCTAAGGTCCCCTCCAACTATTCTATTCTATTCTATTCTATTCTATTCTATTCTAT